AAAAAAAACACAGTCATGTATGAAAAACTGTTATGAAGAGTTCAGATAGATTCTTCTCATCAGCAGAACTTCTAGAGCTTGAAACGCGACTCGAGTTTGTCACACCAGCAAATATGAAGTGATAACTAAAGAATGCAAAAAGAAGTATGAATATCTTTCCATATGGATGATTATAGAAAGATGAAAAGAGTTCTTATTGAAAACCCATCTTCTCGATCGTTTACTCGTGGGCGGTCGTGAAACTTCCCAAAAATAGATTTACTTCCACAAAGGTCATAGTGCTTTTACCGGTCAACGATCATGAGAACTTCATTCGTTATTTTGAAAGATTCAAAATTCAAACGCAACAGCTTTTAAGTTTTGTCGTAAGCCAAAGTTGTGACATTAATGCGCCAGGGTGGAGCTTTCTGTTTTTCATATAATCGGAAGGAATTAGGTCTAGGTTACAGAAAAAGATGAAAGTTTAGAAACTGTCGGAAAACAAAATCATGAAGAAATAATGACAGATGGTGGCACAGCCAGTTAAAGAATAAGCTGACCCCGTTGCTGCCCTTTCAACATCTTCTCCCTGGATGTGTAGTAGAGCAGGGCATCTTCCTCCAAACGAAACCATCGATACTGCCAACCATGTACCATATTTGTCCATTTTGATAAAGGACCCTCCATTAGGACAAATAGTGCTGAAATTCACTCCTGATGATTTACGTTGATGATCCTGGTACGACAGTACAAGATGAGTATCGAAAGGGATACGAGCTAAAAGCGCATAAGAACGAGAGCTGGAGAGTGCTGTGAACAGCGCTGTATAGACACGCCCATGAAGCAAAGGACGCATGGTTATACTGATGATGTTTCAAGTAATTCAACAGTTCCCTCCTGATGGTTTGTCAGAGTAGTGAGCAGCAAGATCTAGAAGAATCATGGAATCGGAACAGAATACATAATCAATACAAACAAAACAACCATAAAATCACATCAAAATAGTAATTCAGCGAGAACTAACGCATTTAGACTAGCATTGAAACGCAAAGCATGCTTAATGATTTGCATAACATTTAGCTACTATGCTGTAGTCTTGATTTGCCCACTATGCGAATGTTCTCTAGTATTGCATTGATGCTCTCTACATGTTTGTTCCCAATTTCGTACTTATTCTTAAAGCTATCAACTATCTGGACAATAAATATGCCTGTTCCACTGAGCAAAACATTCCAAATCTGCTTCTTATCATTTTTGCAGTTTTTCCTTGGAACGCTACGAACATTTCACAAAGTGACGTCGACTTCAAGTACACGAGTTCCTACCCACATAAAAGGTTTGGAAAAATCGGAAAAGACTATCCTACTCACATAAAAGGTTTGGAAAAATCGGAAAAGACTATCTAATTAAGGTTTACCACGAAGTCGACGAAAACATATACACTGACTGTGCTTTCCAGAAAACAGCAGAGATGAATTGCTTACAAAGGAAAAGAAAAAAAA